ATAAGTGCGGTAATATTGAGGAGCTAATAAAACAGACACATGGTGAAAGTTGTGGTTTTCTGCCTTCAACATATTGCAAAGCAGGATGGAGACAGCAAGATAAGGATAGGTGTTTGATCTTGGTCAAAGCACCATGAAAAGTGATTGTAACTCAATACAAACAAGTACAAACAGCAGTTTGAGAAGTCTTGGCAAGGTAAATGTAGATTTCAGCCATGCAATCCCAGTGTATCAGAGATGAGTAGAGTCCGTTACCAATGGTTACAACGAAGCAGGTGTGGATTGTAGGCATGCAAAGTGGCTTAATGTTGCAGGGAAGAGTGGAGTCCGTTAACTGAAAGAGCAGAGGGGAAATGATGAGTGGATGATTATGAGGTGTTCCATGTTGAAAGTGGCAGGCAATTAGCAAAGAGCTGCACACAGTGGCAAGCCTGCCTTGCCAAAAGTATTGGGACGTCTGCTTTTACATGCATAAAAACTTTAATGGCATCCCAGTCTTAGTCCGTAGGGTTCAATATTGAGTTGGCCCACCCTTTGCACCTATGACCGCTTCAACTCTTCTGGGAAGGCTGTCCACAAGGTTTTAGGAGTGTGTCTCTGGGAATGTTTGACCATTCTTTCAGAAATGCATTTGTGAGGTCAGGCACTTTATGGACCTTGCTTTGTGCACTGTTGCGCCATCATGTTGAAAGGGCCATCCCCAAACTGTTCCCAAAGAGTCCAGTGATTCGGAGGGGTGTCCCTATACTTTTGGCAATATAGTGTATATACACACTATATTGCCAAGAGTATTAGGACACCCCTCCCAATCTCGCTATTTTATGTTTCTGTGTCAGCAGTGGGATCCTCCTCTGTCTCCTACCATAGTGTCCCTTTTCATTCAGTTGGCGATGTATAGTGCGAGCTGACACAGTTGTACTCTGTGCCTGAAGGTCAGCTTGAGTTTGTATGGAAGGTGATCAAGGATCTTTAGCCACCATTCGAACCCTTTGTTGTAATCTTTGATCAATTTTTCTGTTTCCTGCACATCCAGGGAGATTAGCTACAGTGCCATCAGCTGTAAACTTCCTGGCAATGTTGCGTACAGTGGACACAGGAACATTAAGATTTCTGGAGATGGATTTGTAACTTTGAGGTTATGCTTTTCCACAATATTTGTTCTTTGCTGCTTTTTCTCTTCTTCATCCTTCTTGTGGCACACAGAAAGATTGAGTCAGCTTTTTCACCATTTTTAACTGGTTGCTGTCTTGATTTCTATATTGTTAGCACCTTGTTAATTGATACAGGTGAGTTTAATTACAAATTACAGGTGCATCACAAATTTGGAATGCAATTCTTTCTTACAATTTTGAAAAGGTGCCAATAATTTTTGTCCAGTCCATTTTTGAAGTTTTGGGTGGAAAGCATCACATTTGGCTTTTTGTTTATCCACTTTTTTTGTGCCATACCAATACAAACAAAAGAAATAAACATGACCATGCCTAAACATTTGTAATTGCAACAATTCTCTGGGCAACGTGATGCATTATCTAACAGAAATGCAGGGGTGCATATATATATATATATATATATATATATATATATATATATATATATATATATTCTCACAGAAGTGAGTACACCCCTCACATTTTTGTAAATATTTTAGATCTTTTCATGTGACAACACTGCAGAAATGACACTTTGCTACAATGTTAAGTAATGAGTGTGCAGCTTGTATAACCGTGTAAATTTGCTGTCCCTCAAAATACACAGCCATTAATGTCTAAACCGCTGGCAACAAAAGTGAGTACACCCCTAAGTAAATGTCCAAATCAGGCCCAAAGTGTCAATATTGTGTGTGGCCACCATTATTATTCAGCACTGCCTTAATCCTCTTGGGCATGGAGCTCACCAGATCTTCAAAGGTTGCCACTGAAGTCCTCTTCCACTCCTCCATGACGACGTCACTGAGCTGGTGGATGTTAGAGACTTGAGCTCATCCACCTTCCATTTGAGGATGCCCCACAGATTGTCAATAGGGTTTAGGTCTAGACGTGTTTTGCCAGTCCATCACCTTTACCCTCAACTTCTTTAGCAAGGCAGTGGTCGTTTTGGAGGTGTGTTTGGGTAAACTTGGATAAACTGTCCTGCGGCCCAGTCTCCGAAGGGAGGGGATCATGCTCTGCTTCAGTATGTCACAGTACATGTTGGCATTCATGGTTCCCAGTGCCGGCACAGCACTCATGCAGCCTCAGACCATGACACTTCCACCACCATGCTTGACTGTAGGCAAGACACACTTGTCTTTGCACTCCTTACCTGGTTGCCATTAAACGCGCTTGACACCATCTGAACCTAATAAGCTTATCTTGGTCTCATCAGACCACAGGACATGGTTCCAGTAATCCATGTCCTTAGACTGCTTGTCTTCAGCAGACTGTTTGCAGGCTTTCTTGTGCATCATCTTTAGAAGAGGCTTCCTTCTGGGACGACAGTCATGCAGACCAATTTGATGCAGTGTGCGGCGTATGGTCTGAGCACTGACAGGCTGACACCCCCCACCCCCCCTTCAACCTCTGCAGCTAGCAGCACTCATACATCTATTTCCCAAAGACAACCTCTGGATATGACACTGCGCACGTGCACTCAATTCCTTTGGCCGACCATGGCGAGGCCCGTTCTGAGTGGAACCTGTCCTGTTAAACCACTGTATGGTCTTGGCCACCGTGCTGCAGCTCAGTTTCAGGGTCTTGGCAATATTCTTATAGCCTGAGCCATCTTTATGTAGAGCAACAATTTTTTTTGTTTTTTTCAGATCTTCAGAGAATTCTTTGCCAAGAGGTGCCGTGTTGAACTTCCAGTGACCAGTATGAGATAGTGAGAGAGAGAACACCAAATTTAACACACCTGCTCCCCATTCACACCTGTGATCTTGTAGGACTAAAGAGCCACATGACACCGGGGAGGGAAAATGGCTAATTGGGCCCAATTTGGGGTGTGTACTCACTTTTCTTGCCAGTGGTTTACACATTAATGGCTATGTTGAGTTATTTTGAAGGGACAGCAAATTTACACTGTTATACAAGCTGTACACTCACTACTTTACATTGTAGCAAAGTGTCAATTCTTCAGTGTTGTCACATGAAAAGATATAATAAAATATTTACAAAAATGTGAGGGGTGTACTCGCTTCTGTGAGATAGTGTGTGTATGTATGTGTATAAATGTACAGTTGTGTTCAAAATAATAGCAGTGTTTTGAAAAAAGTGAATAAAGCTCAAAATCCTTCTAATAGCTTTTATTTCCATACACACACAATGCATTGGGAACACTACACATTCTATTCCAAATCAAAACATGAAGAAAATATATCAAATTTGTGTTGTTCCTCTAAAAAAAAATTGAAGAAAAGTGAATATTAGACTGTTCAAAAAAATAGCAGTGTTTGTATTCTTCTTTACAAACTCGAACATTTACTATATAAACTGAAAAATGTTTGAAGATTTTGCTTTCCTTTGAATCACTTAATCAAAATTGAGTTGTATAACCACTGTTTTTGAGAACTGCTGTACATCTGTGTTGCATGGAGTCAACCAACTTCTGGCACCTGTGAACAGGTATTCCAGCCCAGGATGATTGGACTACATTCCACAGTTCTTCTCTATTTCTTGGTTTTGCCTCAGAAACTGCATTTTTGATGTCACCCCACAAGTTTTCTATTGGATTAAGATCCGGGGATTGGGCTGGCCACTCCATAACGTCAATCTTGTTGGTCTGGAAAGAAGATGTTGCACGTTTATTGGTGTGTTTGGGGTCGTTGTCTTGTTGGAACACCCATTTCAAGGGCATTTCCTCTGCAGCATAAGGCAGCATGACCTCTTCAAGTATTCTGATGTATTCAAACTGATCCATTATCCCTGGTATGCGATAAATAGGCTTAACACCGTAGTATGAGAAACATCCCCATATCGTGATGCTTGCGCAACCATGCTACACTGTCTTCACAGTGTACTGTGGCTTGAATTCAGTGTTTGGGGATCGTCTGACAAACTGTTTCTGGCCACTAGACCCAAAAAGAACAATCTTACTTTCATCAGTCCACAAAATGTTGCGCCATTTCTCTTTAGGCCAGTTAATGTGCTGTTTGGCAGATTGTAACCTCCTCAACACGTCTTTTTTTTCAACAGTGGGACTTTGCGGGGTCTTCTTGCAGATAGCTTGGCTTCACATAGGCGTCTTCTAATTGTAACAGTACTCACAGGTAACTTTAGACCTTCTTTGATCTTCCTGGAGCTGATTGTTGGCTGAATCCTTGCCATTTTGGCTATTATTCTATCCATTCGAATGGTAGCTTTACGCTTTCTTCCATGTCTTTCAGGTTTTGGTTGCCATTTTAAAGCATTTGTGATCATTTTAGCTGATCAGCCTATCATTTTCTGCACTTCTTTATATGTTTTCCCCTCTCCAATCAACTTTTTAATCAAGGTACGCTGTTCTTCTGAACAATGTCTGGAACGACCCATTTTCCTCAGAATTTCATAAAGAAATGCACTGTAACCAGCATGTACATTTGCTGCCTTCCTTAACCACCTTCTGCCCACCCTATAGTACAATTACGGGCGCATGGTGGTTCTCTTGTTCTGATAGAACGTCATATGACGTCCTACCATTCTCACTGCGCATGCGCGGCTCAGGGAGCGCGCAGCGCAGCGATCGCCGGTGCGCTGTGTCCCTCTGACACAGACGATCACGGAAAGAGCCGAAGATGTCAGTTCAGTCATGTGATCAGCTGTGTCCAATCACAGCTGATCACATGTAAACACGGAAATGCCGGTTATCGGCATTTCTCTCCTCTCGAGCTGTCATGCTGACAGCTCGAGAGGAGAAGAGAGCCGGTAATCGGCTTTCCGCGGAGGGGACATGTACACTGATCATCAGAGCACTGATGATCAGCGTGGCCCCAGAAGTGCCACCTGTCGGTGCTCATCAGTGCCACCTGTCAGTGCTCATCAGGGCCACCTGTCAGTGCTCATCAGTGCCACATGCCAGTGCTCATCAGTGCCACATGCCAGTGCCATCAGTGCCACATCAATGCCACATATCAGTGCCCATCTGAGCTGCCTTTCAATGTCACCCATCAGTGCCAGTCAGTGTCGCCTATCAGTGCCAGTCAGTGCCGCCTATCAGTGCCGCCTATCAGTGTCATGTATCATTGCTGCCTTTCAGTGTCCATCAGTGCAGCCTATCAGTGCCCATTACTGCAGCCTCATTAGTGCACATCAGTGAAGGAGAAAAATCACTTATTTACAAAATTGTATAACGAAAACTAAGAAAAAACTTTTTTTTTCAAAATTTTCAGTGGTTTTTGGTTTGTTTAAGGAAAAATAAAAATCCCAGAGGTGATTAAATACCACCAAAAGAAAGCTCTATCTGTCTCAAAAAAATGATAAAAATTTCATATGGGTACAGTGTTGCATGGCCGCGCAATTGTCATTCAAAGTGACAGCGCTGAAAGCTGGAAATTGGCCTGGGTAGGAAGGGGGTATAAATGCCCTGTAGGCTAGTGGTTAAATAAGGGCAATAATTGCAACCTGTTTTTCAAAGAATGAATGACCCACTAATAGAACTTCACACTGCTATTATTTTGAATATGCCCCTTTCAATTAGTGATTCAATTACACAGAATCAGCAGAATGCATGTCATGACTGTTGGATTTCTATTACTCTACTACACCTGCTAGTAAATTATTTGCCATGTAGAAATATCATATTTACCAAAAACAGTGGTCGATCAGGTTAGTGATGTCTGACTGCTATTAAAATGTCAGGTTTCTGTGATGTAATTAAATGAGACAAATCATTTCAGAATCTTTTCCACTTCTAATGTGACCTATAAACTGTACAACTCCGTTGACAAGCAAACTAAAATCTTTTAGTGGGGGGAGGGGAAGTGAACATAAAAAACTAAAATAATGTTGTTGTATAAGTGTGCACACCCTCTTATAACTGGAGATGTAGCTGTGTTCAAAATTAAGCAATCATATTCAAAATTATGGTAAATAGGAGTCAATACACACCTGCCATCATTTAAAGTGCCTATGATTAACCTCAAATAACATTCAGCTGTTCTAGTAGGTCCTTTCCTGACATTTTTTTAGCTGCATCCTACAGCAAAAGCCATGGTCCGCAGAGAGCTTCCAAAGCATCAGAGGGATCTCATTGTTAAAAGGTATCAGTCAGGAGAAGGGTACAAAAGAATTTAATTAGATATATCATGGAACACCATAAAGACAGTCATCAAGTGGAGAAAATATGGTGCAAGAGTAAAATTTCCAAGAACTGGACGTCCCTCCAAAATTAATGAAAAGACAAGAAGAAAACTGTTATGGGAGGCTGCCAAGAGGCCTACAGCAACATTAAAGGAGCTGCAGGAATATCTGGCAAGTACTGGCTGTGTCGTACATGTGACAACAATCTCCCTTATTCTTCATTTGTCTGGGCTATGGGTGGCAAGATGGAAGCCTTTTCTTACGCAGAAAAACATCCAAGCCCAGCTAAATTTTGCAGAAATACAGCTGAAGTCTCCCAAAAGCATGTGGGAAAATGTGTTATGGTCTGATGAAACCAAGGTTGAACTTTTTAGCCATAATTTCAAAACATATGTTTGGTGCAAAAACAATACTACACATCACCAAAAGAACACCATACCCACAGTGAAGCATGGTGGTGGCAGTATTATGCTTTGGGGCTGTGTTTTTCTTCAGCTGGAACTGGGGCCTTAGTCAAGGTAGAGAGAGTTATGAACAGTTCCAAATACCAGTCAATATTGGCAGAAAACCTTCAGGCTTCTGCTAGAAATCTAAACATGAAGAGGAACTTAATCTTTTAGCATGACAACGACCCAAAGCATACGTCCAAATCAACAAAGGAATGGCTTCACTAGAAGTAGAATAAAGTTTTGGAATGGCCCAGCCAGAGCCCAGACCAGAATCCAATCGAAAATCTGTGGGGTGATCTGAAGAGGCTGTGCACAGGAGATGCCCTTGCAATCTGACAGATTTGGAGTGTTTTTGCAAGGAAAAGTGGGCAAATATTGCCAAGTCAAGATGTGCCATGCTGATAGACTCATACCCAAAATTAGTTTGAGTGTGGACACTTGTGCAACCATATTATTATATTTTAAAATATACACACACACACACACACACACACACACACACACACACACACACACAAATAATTTAGAATATCATCAATAAGTTAATTTATTTCAGTAATTACATTTAAAAAGTGAAACTCATATATAGATTAGATTTCAAGCATTTCTTTCTTTTAATTTTGATGATTATGGCTTACAGGTAATGAATTCAGAATCTCAAAAAATTAGAATACTGTAAAAAAAGGTCAATATTCTCGAATCATGGTGTCACACTCAAATCAGCTATTTAATGCAAAATACCTGCAAAGGTTTTCTGAGCCTTTAAATGGTCTCTCAGTCTGGTTCAGTGGGACGATCCTGGGGAAGACTGCTGACTTAACAGTTGTCTATAAGACTGTCATTGACACCCCCCACAAGGAGGGTAAGTCACAAAAGGTCATTGCTAAATAAGTTGGCTGTTCACAGACTGCTGTATCCAAGCATATTATTGGAAAGTTGAGTGGAGAAAAAAGTGGTAGAAAAGGGTGCACAAGCAACAGGGATAACCGCAGCATTTAGAGGATTGTGAAGCAAAGGGTTTTCAAGAATTTGAGGAAGATTCACAAGGAGTGGACTCTTGCTGGTGTCAGTGCATCAAGAGCCACCACACACAGACGTATCCAGGACATGGGCTACAATTGTTATATTCCTTGTGCCAAGGTACTTATGAACCAGAGACAACGTCAGAAGCATCTTGCCTGGGCTAAGGAGCAGGGCTGAACTGTTGCTTAGTGGTCCAAATTCCTCTTTTCGGATGAAAGTGGAGACACATAATCCAAGTTGCATGAGGTCCAGTGTGAAGTTTCCACTGTCCTTGATGATTTGGGGAGCCATGTTACCTTCTGGTGTTGTTCCTCTCTGTTTTATTAAGTCCAAAGTGAGTACAGCCCTCTACCAGTAAATTGTAGAGCACTTCATGCCTCCCTCTGCAGACTAGCTTTAGAGAGATGCTGATTTAATTTTCCAGATTTTTTTTTTTAAATTCAGAGTGCATGTGGCCGAAAACCAAAACCGAAATGTCTGCATATGTGGGGAGGCTCCAATTATTTATTTTTTTTCGTATTTTTTTTCTACTTTCATGTATATTTTTATATGATTTTTTTTTTTAACCAGTTGCCTCCTGGCCTGTATTCAGATTGTCCATCCGGGTGGACGCTGTATGGTGTCCTTTCAGGTACCCATTGCGCATGCCCGCAGGGCCACGCTGTAGCGAGATCTGTCACCGGCTGTGTACCTCAGACATGGCCGATAACAGATCTGTGTACCGGCCCCGTTGCCAGTACCATGTGATCTGCTGTGACCAATCACATGACCGTTGTATACAATGGATGTCTTCCTTTCATGCCATCTGTTGTATACAAGTGTGTCTAGCTGTGAATGGTCACAGCGATCAGATGCACAAGCTCGGCCAATCACAGCCAGCTGTATCATGTGCTTAGCCATGGCCAAATCACAGCTAATCACAAAAAAAAAAAAAACCCCTGATTGAACCGATTTAATTCGGGTAAATGCTTGCTTATAGCAAAGTAATTCTTTGCTATAAGCAAATTGTTTTAAAAAGAAAAAAATACTGATCACTTCCTTAAAGCAGTACAATGTTACTATGGTAACATTATACTACTTTGGTCATAGTGCAATATGAAAAAAATCTTAAAGAAAAAAATGTAATAAATTAAAAATAATGTTTAATTTTTTTTTTTGTACTGTCACCGGTCACTGTCCCTGATCACCGCCATGCCAGTTATATGATGACGCTATACTGCACTGGTGATCGTATGTAAAAAAAAATAAATAAAAAAAAATGAAAATCATTTTTTTAATTTCCTAATTTTCTAAAAAAAATTACAATGTCAAAAAACTCGCCATGCCTCTTATGAAATACGTCAGACTGTCTACTTTGCAAAAAGGGATCATTTGGGGGATATCTGTACTGTTCTGACATTTTTGGACCTCAAGAAATTAGATTGGCTGTCAGTACTTCAGGATTGATCAATTTTCAGATCTATCCCGTAGTTTGTGAACTCTATAACTTTCCTACAGCCTAAATACTAAATACTAATTGGGGTTATTTTCACCAAAGATATGTAGCAGAATACATCTTGGCCTAAATTTGTGAAGAACAATTTATTAATTTGCAAACTTTTATAACAGAAACAAAAAAAAAAAAAAAAAAAAAACCACACTTTTTTTTCTTTCTTTTTTTTTTAAATGTTCTGTCTTTTTTTGCTAATTTAGCAAAAAATAAAAACCCTAGTGGTGCTACCACCAAAAGAAAGCTCTAGTTGTGTTAAGAAAGTGATAAAATTTTAGTTTGAATGACAATTGCACAGTCATACAACACTGTACCCAAAGTGTGACAGCGCTGAAACCTGAAAATTGGCCTGGGCAGGAAGGGGGTAAAAGTGCCCTGTATGGAAGTTAAGTTATGATTTTACTGCTATCACATAGAGGACCAATAATCCCCTATGTGGTAGCATATGAGTGACACGTCCTCTTTGTAGTTGGCAGTGTGTGCAAGGAGGGGGCAGGCGAGTAGCGGTGTATACAGTGAGGGAGCAGTGTATACAGAGAAGCTCCCTCACTGGCTTTCACTATATGTCAATGCCAGTTTTTAAATGCATTTGCCGACTATCAAGACCATGAAGAACTATCCCTGTGATGACTTCTAAACATACAAATATTAGGAACTGCAACCATTTTTATACTCAAGTCCCTTCATTTTCAGGGGCTGAAATGTAATTGGACAAATTAATATAATCGTATATAAAATGTTAATTTTTAATATTTTGTTGAGCATCCTTTACTGGCAATGACTGCCTGAAGTCTGGAACCCATATACATTACCAAAGACTGGGTTTCCTCCTTTCTGATGCTTTGCCAGGCTCTAACTGCAGCTGTCTTCAGTTGTTTGTTTTGTGTGGGTCTTTCTGCCTTTAGTTTTGTCTTCAGCAAGTGAAATGCATGTTCAGTTGGGTTGAGATCAGGTGATTGACTCAGCCATTGAAGAATATTCCACTTCTTTTCCTTTAAAAGATCCTGGGTTGCTTTTGCAGTGTGTTCTGGATTATTATTGTCCATCTGTACTGTGAAGCGCCGTCCAATCAACTTTGCTGCATTTAACTGAATCTGGGCTGACAGTATATCTCTAAACACT